TAATGTAATGATATTCCAAAACAAATCGAGTTTATAACGATAAAGTACAGTAGGATGTACGATTATCTCATTTACTAGAAGTCCATTACCCAAAGAGACATCATGAACGCAAAAACTTCATTACCTAGAAGCCTCACCACTTTCAAATAAGATACAAAGTATGAAATTATCTTGTTATGCCTATACACTAGTTTGTTTAACGTTTCTAATCTTGTAGACCTGTACAAACAGACAAGCGTTCTCGGTCTGCAGAACTTCTTTTGAAAAACTTCTGGAAGTGTCCTATCGTAGAATCTTATGGATTGCAAAAAATATTAATGCTGTCACGGACTTCAGAGAAAATAGAGGTGGAAATCGGTAGAAAAGTAAAATGCTGATGCAAAGAGAAGAGGTTATAAAGGGTATAAAGTTTATAGGAAACTTTAAAGGGGTTGAAAGCCATTACAATAGGGCACAGTCCAAGAGGTTATGTTTGAGTTCTACGTCCAACATAAACAAAATGTTGAAAATGTACAATGAAAGTGTGGACCACCACCTTCAAGTAAACTATTCGTTTTTCCACAAAATATTTTCAATTTAATTTAATTTAGGGAAGAGCTAGGCAGTTTCACTTAATGATGAAGGAGGAAGAAGAAGGTACTGCATCATTTCATTTTGATCTACAATAGGTTCAGCAACTCCCGAAACTTCCTATTCAAGAATGTTCCTATTCACTACAGATTGGAATGTATGGATTTTGTATTGTTAATTTGAAAAGCTCGTCAACTCACTTTTATATGTGGGTTGAATATCAATGCGGCAGAGGCTCGAATTCAATTGGTTTTGTAGNATAGCGAATTTTGAAAATTATCGATGAAAATTGCAACATCGAAAATTTTATCAAAACTTCAAATATTGTTTTCTCAAAAACTAAAAGTTATTTTTCAAAACGTATTGCTTCATTGGAAAGAGGACACTCTTATTAACAAATTGGGAAATTTTCATACTCATATTTCAAGAAATAAATTTTATACGAATTTTTAAAACTTAGTCGGTGGAAATTGCAAAATTCGAAAAAATTATCGATTATTTAAAAAATTTATTTCTCAAGAACTAAACGCAACTTTTTCAAAACGGCTTCTTGCATTAAAAAGAGGATACTTTAATTGATAATTGGTGATATTTCCACAAGGATCCTTCAAGAAATTAATTTTATAGCGAATTTTGAATGTTATCGATGAAAATTCCAACATCGAATATTTTCTCAAAAACTAAAAGTTATTTTTCAAAACGTATTGGTTCATTGGAAAGAGGACACTCTTATTAACAAGTTGGGAAATTTTCGTACTCATATTCCAAGAAATGGATCTTATACGAATTTTGACAACTTAATCAACGAAAATTGCAAAATTCAAAAATTTATTTCTCAAGAACNCCTATTCACTACAGATTGGAATGTATGGATTTTGTATTGTTAATTTGAAAAGCTCGTCAACTCACTTTTATATGTGGGTTGAATATCAATGCGGCAGAGGCTCGAATTCAATTGGTTTTGTAGTTATTTGGCTGATGTACGAAAAATAAGATTCTTTGTTGATAATCAAACATATAAAGCTATGCTATCAAAAATATATAGCTAATTTATTGATACAAACTTTTTGGCTGACACTGTACTGATATTATTCTTTGGGATCGTCAATCGGTTCATCTCGAGATTCGTATGAAAAAATATTTTTTTTCTTTGTATTAAAATTAGCTTCAATGTCAATTTCGGCAGCCAGTTTTCTTGCATCAATTATACTTTCATTGAAAGACTTGTCCGATCGAAGATCCTTAAAGAATTTTTTGCAATTTTGTAAGAGGTCAAGTGCAGATGCTAGATCGAAATCTTTTGTTTGCATTAGTTTGCTTATAGGATTAATGCAGTTTAAGATTTTGTACCAAGTTTTTGTTGCGTCGTATTCTTCTCCTATTTGAAATCGTAAAGTCTTTAAGACCTCTATCCTACTCTCCCATCTAGTGGCACTCAACGGTTTCAAAGTTAATCCTTTAATATGTTTCAAAAGTATTGCCCACCGAAACGTAGATGATGAAAAAAAAAATAGTTTCTGGGTTATATTGCAGAAATTAGCGGCTACCGAAGAAGCTTTTGCCATATCATTAACCACTAGAAAAACGCTCGTGAATTTAAATTCTTAATTCTAGGTTGCACTCCAGCTTTATCGCCTTTCATATTAGATCTATTATCATATCCCTGTCCTCTAACATCTTGCAAGTTTAACCCCATATTAGTAACTTCTTCAATTATGATTTCAGTCATTTGTTTTCCTGTGGACATTTCAATTGGAAGGAAACCCAAAAAACTTTCATTCACTTTTATTTCAGCGTCGTTGAAATCAGATTTATTGACTGTAACATATCGGAATATAAGTCATTTGCTCCACCTTACTTACGTCAGGAGTGCAATCTAAAATTATAGAATAGCATTTGGCCTTTTTTATTTCATTAATAATATAAGACTTCACATTTTGATGCAACAAGTCTATTATTTCGTTTTGTATATTTTTACCGAGATAGTGGGCTTTCATCTCCTCTTTTTTCAGCACCCTTCGCACGTGTTCTTCCTAATGGAACCAAATTCAGACAGTAGTTCAACTATTTTTAGGAAGTTACCATTATTATGCTCAAATAGTTTATCTCTTGTACCTTGAAAAGCCAGACAACTTTTACCAAGCATTTTAATGATTCCTACGATTCTTAGAAGCACTTCATACTAATGGTTTGTATCAGCATTAATAATTTTTTGAGCAGTTGCATCTATAGTTTTACAACACGTTAGTCTTTGACTCAGTTCCAGCCATGATTTGTGAGCTTCAATGTGATTTTTTGAAACTTCGTGTTCTTTTAACGTTTCAACGATATGCATCCAACTTTTAAAGCCGTCTTTTGAAAGAGAACTGATCACACAGCCGAAAATTTTACAGCAAAAGCAATAAATACAGTTTTTTGAAATAGATTATACTAGCCAGTCTCTTACAACATGCTCTTCATTGGTAGAAAATCGACAAGTAAAAATTTCGATTAAATTCGATTATCAAAATTTTATTACATTCTGAGTCAAAATGCCGCCCTTTAGAGCTGCCGCCCCGGACAAATGTCCGGATGGTCCGCCCTTAGAGCGGGCCCTGCACTGGAAAACTTTCATAATCATATTCCAAGAAATGGATTTTATACGAACTTTTAAAACTTAATCGGCGGAAATTGCAAAATTCGAAAAAATTGTCGATTATTTCAAAAATTTGTTTCTCAAGAATTAAAAGTGATTTTTCAAAACGGCTTGTTGCATTAAAAAGAGGATATTTTAATTAATAATTGATGATATTTTCACAAGGATCCTTCAAGAAATTAATTTTATAACGAATTTTGAAAATTATCGATGAAAATTGCAACATCGAAAATTTTATCAAAACTTCAAATATTGTTTTCTCAAAAACAAAAAGTTATTTTTCAAAATGGGTTGGTTCATTGGAAAGAGGACACTTTTATTAACACTTTGGGAAATTTTCATACTCATATTCCAAGAACTGGATTTTATACGAATTTTTAAAACTTAATCGGCGAAAATTGCAAAATTCGAAAAAATTGTCGATCATTTCAAAAATTTATTTCTCAAGAACTAAAAGTGATTTTTCAAAACGGCTTTTTGCATTAAAAAGAGGATACTTTAATTAATAATTGGTGATATTTCCACAAGGATCCTTCAAGAAATTAATTTTATAGCGAATTTTGAAAATTATCGATGAAAATTGCAACATCGAAAATTTTATCAAAACTTCAAATATTGTTTTCTCAAAAACTAAAAGTTATTTTTCAAAACGGGTTGGTTCATTGGAAAGAGGACACTTTTATTAACACTTTGGGAAATTTTCATACTCATATTTCAAGAAATGGATTTTATACGAATTTTTAAAACTTAATCAGACAAAATTGCAAAATTCAAAAATTTATTTCTCAAGAACTGAAAGTGATTTTTCAAACCGGTTTTTTGTATTAAAAGGAGGATACCTTAATTAATAATCGAAAGTGATAACAGGGACAGTTCTGTTAGTAATGAATGTGATGATGAATTAAGAAGAAAACTAGACGAAACTGCAACAAGAGATTTTATATATCGTATTGGGATTCTTACAATGAGGTTGCTAATGACAAACCTGATATAAATAAAGTTGTATTAATTGAAAAAAGTCCTATTGGGGTTGATCTTGATTATTATCTGCAGTGTCCAACACCTAAAAGAGATATTAATTCCTGTGAATGGTGGAGTACTAAGTAATAGGTTTTTAACCACTAGTGAAAATGAGGTTTAGGAGTGATTATTTAAAAATAGGATCTATAGTACGTAAAGTGTGTTGCCTATAAGAACGGTTTTTTGTTACAACATATTCATCATATATTGTTAGAAAAAGAAAACTAAGTTAATCAGTTAAGAAGTTTTATTTCTGTTATTCTTTTACTTGATGGGGAATAATACAAATGACACGAGTAAATGGCCGAAGACGATCCGCTAAGTGGATAAGAGGAAAGGATCGTCCAACATCCACTACATACCATAGTTCATACATATAAACATGATAGCGAATCAGTTGTTAAGCTAAGCGAGAACCCCACTTTAGTCCAAACCTTTTAGTAAATTGCTTCGAGAACGATATGGACTTGTAATGCACGCCATCCTTCGCGCATTCGCCACCGTCATTCCCCCGTTTCCTCGCCGCCCATACTCATAGGGGTTAAAGTTCACGCGGGGGTGAGAACCAAGTTAAGGGTTGAATCTGTAAAAGACTTGGAGTTCTCTGGTTTCTTTTAGATTATTGGCAAAGTGGCCGAAGCGGGATCTTCGATAGTGCCTTATTACCATAATTGGATGCGGTTCAATTTATCGCTTCGCTCAGCTTTATGTCAATTGACAATTTGTGGGTGTTAAGGGGGATGATAAAGAATTATTACTATTAATTAACTTTTTAAATTATTTATTTCAGTTTTAAAACTTACAATTATATCTTACAGCGTTATTCGTTTAGGAACTTTAAATTATGTACAAACACGTCGCTTATTAGGACCTATTTCAAACTGAATAAAATGTACATACAATATAAAAATATAATAAAAAAATAAATTAATAAATTACAAGAGATCGAGAATACTTTTGAAGACAAGTTATGTATAAATATAATTAAAAGAAAAAAGAAGTAGGGTTAACATTTCTATAACGAAACGATTATAACCTTCTTCTTCGTTAATTTATTTTTTAATTTTCCTCTCAACAACTACCCCTTATCTATTAATTAATATGTACACACTTAATTTTTTCAATCAATCATATTAGACATACATGATTTATACACTATACGTTTATTTCATAATTTCGGAAATAATTTATTGAGCTACAAATTACATTTATACCACGTACGGCCTATATAAAGGTTCAGCATCTGGAATTTTCCGAACGCTATTTTGATTCTCCAACGAATGACTTTGAGCTGAATTTGGCGAATCTTGACTTGGACTCGATTTTGTGGATTGCTGTTGATTCGAACTGGACGATGGCGATTGGCATTTTGAGTTCAAATCGGAATCTTTGGAGCTTTTCGCTTCCTGTTGAGCCTTTTTGCTACGTTTCCATTTCATCCGTCGATTTTGGAACCATATTTTAACCTGAAATTATAAATTATAAAAACAAAATTATTAATATTTATTTTGCGAAAATCCCTAGATAATTTAATCTGTGAGTTAATTACGGGTTCTGCTTCACAACAAATGCTATTATCAAAGTCAATAAACCGAGATATGAATTGCCCTTAATTTATTTTACTATCTTGTTGATTATTTACCGAGCTCATTAGTGATTAAAGTGTAATAATTTCAATTTTTTTGTTTGTATATAAAACGCGGTGGAAAAAAAGTTTGAAACACGACCTCTTTTAGCATATATGTATATATTTGTTGGAACACGGCTGCGGTGGTGTTGACTTTTTCGGTTTTCACGCTCAAATCCAAACCGTGCAATGTTTGGACAAAGCCCCGCTGCGAAACCAAGATCAACTGTAATAAAATCACGCCCCCTATCCACTAAGAGAGAGATAGAGGACAAAACGTAGCATTTCCCGGTGATAAATTTATGTCATATTTTGAGCAGTTAGTCATCGGGAATCCTAAAATATGACTTCTGTCTGTTTGTTTGAACTTCCGCTTAGTTTCGCCTCCATAACTTTCCAGTCTGAATAAGAAAACACGTCGAGACATACAACTACGGTTCAAATAATACAAAGTTATTATATCAAACTATAATTATAATTATTTTCTTATGTTATTTATATTTATTTTTTTATTTAAATAAATAGGGTAAAAATAAAGATTTTTTAAATAAGATTATCAATTGGAAAATCATCATTTTTATTATAATTAAGATTTATACTTTAAATGAATGTTTGCATGTTGATAAAAATTAAAAGCAGTTAGTAAATAACAATTACTATCCTGCTGATATTACTAAAAGATGTCGAGAATGAGAGAGAATAATTGATATAACCTCGTTCAAACATTTGTGAAAAATATCATCCAAACAAAATTTGGATGTTTATTTATTATGGAACTTAATATAACTCGCAATATATGAATACAGTAACCTTAGTTACAAAGTTACTACACTGAAAGAAATAGATTGTACGAATCGTAGAAAAAATATTATACATGCAGTAATTCATTGTATTATATTCATTATATTTATTGTACTGAAAACAATCTCGTCTCGCTGTCACTTTTCGTAGTAAAGTATTATATCTTATAGTATATTTTTAGTGTATAGTACAATCCATTTCTCTCAGTGTACACACTTGCACTATCCTACATAAAATGCAACATAGCTTAATAGTACAGGCATTGGGTAGTTTTGCAAAAGAAAACTTTTACTTGGAAAAAGGTAATGTCCCTATGATAACCCTGAGTTTTCGGCCGTCTTAAAAGACGCAAGGCTAAACCCGAATGATTCTAGTTCTAGGTGTTATGTTAATTCCAGTGAAAGTGCTGATGTAAAACCAGAACTAACACTAGACCTAGAACTGGGAAGTATCGGGTTCAGCGTCTAAAGACGCACAGTTAAACCCGAATATTTCTAGTTCCAGGTCTAGTGTTAGTTCTAATTTTAATGCAATAAAAATAAAGAACATAGTGATATCTTATGCTAACTGGTGCTACCTACCAGTGTCACTAGAACTAACATTAGACCTAGTGATAGTGCTTCATCATCACATTCATTACTAACAGAACTGTCGCTGTTATCACTTTCGATTATTAATTAAAGTATTCTCTTTTTAATGCAACAAGCCGTTTTGAAAAATCACCTAGAGTAATAAATTTTTGAAATCATCGACAATTTTTTCGAATATTGCAATCTCTAAAGATTAAGTTTTAAAAATTCGTATAAAATCCATTTCTTGGAATATGAGTATGAAAACTTCCCAAAGTGTTAATAAAAGTATCTTTTTTTCCAATGAACCAACCCGTTTTGAAAAATAACTTTTAGTTTTTGAGAAAATAATATTTGAAGTTTTGATAAAATTTTTGCCATTGCAATCTTCATCGATAATTTTCAAAATTCGTTATAAAATTCATTTCTTGATGGATCCTTCTGGAAATATCACCAATTATTAATTAAAGTATCCTCTTTTAATGCAGAAAGCCGTTTTAAAAAATCACTTTTAGTTCTTGTGAAATAAATTTTTGAAATGATCGATAATTTTTTCGAATTTTGCAATTTTCGTCGATTAAGTTTTAAAAATTCATATAAAATCCATTTCTTGGAATATGCGTATGAAAATTTCCCAAAGTGTTAATAAGAGTGCCCTCTTTCCAATGAACCAACATGTTTTGAAAAATAACTTTTAGTTTTTGAGAAAACAATATTTGAAGTTTTGATAAAATTTTCGATGTTGCAATTTTCATCGATAATTTTCAAAATTCGCTATAAAATTAATTTCTTGAAGGATCCTTGTGGAAATATCATCAATTATTAATTAAAGTATCCTCTTTTTAATGCAAAAAGCCGTTTTGAAAAATCGCTTGTAGTTCTTGAGAAATAAATTTTTGAAATAATATACAGTAAAAGATACGAATAATGAGGAAAGCTAATTTGATAGAAAGAAATATAATAAGCAGAGAAAAAACAGAAAAGCTAATTGCGATGTTTACGAGAGATCAAATATATGTATGTACATATACTAGAGAGAAGAGTATGTGTTGACTATGTTGGGAGAATAAGGAAACGATGGATCATTTCTCACAGCTCAGAGAATGTGAGGAGTGAAGGAAACAGGTGAGGGATTGAGAGGTAATCACTAGGATCACAACATTGTTCAGAACCTCAACCTAAGCAACGTTTTGGTACATCTACTTATTGATGCAGATACTTCCTTTGATAGTCTGGTTCTACAACTAACATAACTAACAATAAATAAGAACATTCACCATGATGTTAAGCTACCTAACTTAAACTGTAATGGATTGAATTTACCATATAAACACTGCATAACATAGAAAGAGGATATTATGTAGACGAAGAGATAGAAATAAGATAACAATTTTCATAATTCTATTAATATATACGAAACATTAAGGTGTTTTTATTAAACAGAAACTATGCACGCTATAAACATAGAAAACCATAAATTATTAAGACATTTGACGTCAAAGCCAAGTATACGATAAAATTTATTGACAATATTATCCATAACATAATAGATCATGGAAGAAAAGATATTATAAAAGGCATAAAGAATTATAAAAGAGGCTCTGACGATGGTTATGGACAGAAAAACATGCGAGAGTGAGTGCTGCTAGAAAGGCGGAGGGTATACGACCAAAACTCATACTCGAGGATACTCTTTGCCAGAATTCGTTAGAAAACATAACGAGTTTCGAACATTCTGTCTATGACCACAAGAAGTATTGGTCTGCTTTATTTTTTTGGAAAGGATCTGAGTTGAGCTTGAGAATTGCAGCTATAATATTGAATATATTATAATTTTGTCTACATAGATATTAGTAAGAGTTTCAGACTCTATTGTATTTTACTTAAATAGAGTATTGGTAATCCTCAAGTTTTGCTGTAATGAGAATTGTTCGAGATTTTGGGACATTTGATAACATCCTTGACCTTCTGCTAACACGCTAGTTATTGGTCATGTTGGAAATATCTGATCACTTTTTGAACCAGTTTGTTAAAGCCAGATTTTTTTAGAAGTCGGTTGGCAGCTAATCAAATAGCAACTAACTCCTGTTGAATTGCTAGATTTTGAAGCACAAGGATACAAGAAGCCATAAAGAAACATGGCATGTATTGTTCATACACTCAAGATCATCTAATTTGGACTTTAAGATGATCTCCTATATCTCAGACCATCGATTCGATTGCATAATCAAAAAGTATCGGACCTCAAATGGCAAAAGGACACCATAGTCACCTTAGGACAATGCAATGATTGTAATTCTACTTATTTATTGCTAAATAACACAAAAACGGCACGCGGGATTAAAGAAGAAAGAATTTGACATCATTTTATAAAAATACATTTTGAGTTTTGAGAGGAATGAGGGCTCAGATTGTATCCTACACACTGCTTCCAAAAGACTATTAATGGTTGCAGAAAGCTGCTTATAAAAGACTTCTTTGTGCTTGCAGAAGAATAAATACTGCTGGCATTCGACTAAATATTGAAAATGGATTACTGGATACTGTAAAAGCACAGATAGTGCTTATAGAAGACTACATACTACTTTCAGAAGACTAGAAATTAGTTGTAGAAGATTTAATTCTAGTAATGTATTGTAAGTAGTATAGATTTCAAAATAGTGCTTACAGAAAGTTACATACTGCTTGAAGATGACTTGTTAGTGGTTGCCAAAGACTAGATACTGCTTGCAGAAGACTAAATATTGCTAATGGATTACTAGGTACTATAGAAATCTAAATACAAAAGACAACATAATGATTGTAAAAAACTTGGTAATAAGCCACAAGGAAACATTGCATGTATAGGTATGTATTGTTCATACACTCAAGATCATCTAATTTGGGCTTTAAGATGATCTCCTATATCTCAGATCATCGATTCGATTGCACAATCAAAAAGCATCTGACCTCAAATGCCAAAAGTACACCATAGTCACCTTACGATAATGCAATGATTGTAATTCTACTTGTTTATTGCTAAATAACGCAAAAAACGGCACGCGGGATTAAAGAAGAAAGAATTTGTAGAGGACTAAATTCTGGTAATGTGTTCTAAGTAATATAGAAGTCAAAATAGTGCTTACAGAAGGCTACATACTGCTTGATGATGACTTGATAGTGGTTGCCAAAGACCAGATATTGCTTGCAGAAGACTAAATATTGCTAATGGATTACTGGGTACTATAGAAATCTAAATAGGAGTTACAAAAGATGACATACTGCTCGCAGAAGACTTGTTAGTGGTTGCAGAAGACTAGATTTTTGCCTACATAAGGCTAAATAAATTGAATTGGCTGTAAAACAAATTGTGTTATGTTATGGTTAGATATAATGTGCGCATCCAGACATCCAAAGAGATGTACCGAATTTAATAACAGCAAATGTGTCACAGACCAAATTAATTATTTTAAATTTTCTTAACCAATTTAAAATTTAAATAATTTTTTTTTATCTTACCTGAGTTTCTGTCAACATTAAGCTTGTTGCAACTTCAAACCTCTTCGGTCTTGATAAATATTTATTCTGTCTAAATTGTTTTTCAAGTTCCAACAGTTGTTGAGATGTAAACGCCGTTCTGGGTCGTCTAGTTTTTCCCAAAAGAGCATGACCCGGTCCGCACCCTAAAACAAAAACAAAAATCCATTAAGAATTTTTTTTAAATACCCCTAAGGTGTAGTTGTTGTGTAAGGATACTACTCAACATGCGTTAGTGCTTTAGTCGGTTCGTTAAACTAAAGGGTCGAAGGAAATTGATCAATCCTTAGGCTTTATTTGGACATCCCTCGGTGTTTATTTAATTATTCATAGTTGTCGCCGAAAGCCTCTGCGGAACCGGGGAGTTAGAGAGCTAATTTGTCACCATATTGCGTATATAAAACGTGCGGTCAAAAAGGGACCCCCCCTCGTATGTTTGCAGTGCATTTATCGTGCTGTCTTTCTCTAACCCACCACTCTGATTGCGCCATTGTCATGATAATTTAATATCCTAATACATTTAACGACACCCCTAATTTTAGGGGTTCTTTGTCAGAGCTGGTGACAAGCGGAACCCAAGTAAGCCCGGGGTTTCTCGTCGAGACGTAATCTCCTAAACAACCATTGCAAATCGATCGTACACGGACGTTTAGGTATTTTCATAATTTTAATACATTATTTCATTTACATTTGATTGATTTGATTCCAATCCAATTTCATTATCTTTTTAATGAAAATAATTAATAATAATAAACAATAACAAATGAATAAATAAACGAGTATATTATTAATTTATGATTTATATCTAGAACTGTACAACATTGATATTCCGCAAACACCTTTAAAGCAGACATCGTTGCATCAATATAAATGAAATATCTGTATTGACGTAGATACATATGCCACGGCCTAGATAATACGTAATATGTGATATACACACATCATTTAGACGTGAATTAATTTAATAATAGGGTTTGATATATGAAAATCTCTCCAATAACCCAGAGTTATGTTATTGCTCATCGGCCACATGTCGACTAGCTGTCATTCGAGAATTACACGTTGATAATCCGAGAAGAAAATTATGACATTGAACTTTATAACATACTCGAATAAAATATGTTGATTTCAATTAATTCAATTCAATGAGATTGATTTGAAATCAATTGTTGTCTCGGTTGCAAATTGAAATTTGTAATGTATAAATTATAATTTCTGAATTATGTATTGGAAATTTATAATGACCTAAATGGTATTTGATGAAATGGTATCTCTCATCTTCTATTCCTATATTTCCATTAGTCTTGTTTCTAAAATTATGTTTACCAAGAATGTTTCGAAACTTTTATTGTTTCAAATTTGCTCCTACTCTATTTTAACAACACTGCATTTGATATATTTTTTATTGCATTGTTAATCTTAAAATCATCCTCATTTAGCTCTTTACAAAATTTCGGACATAACCGGAAAAAGAAAAGTGAACAGAAAGCAACAAAAGCTTCTTACTTTTCTTATGCAGAAGGTTATATATTGCTAGCTGGAGATTGGATACTGTTAATGAATCGCAAGAAAGTGCTAATAGAGGACTAGATACTGCTTACAGAAGATTAAGTACTGATTCTGGATGACTAAATCTGCTTCCAGAAAACTGGATTCTGCTTGCAGATTATTAAATACTGCAACAGAAGACCAAGTACTGCTAATAAAATACCAAATCTGCGGAAGACTAGATAGCGTTTGCATAAAACGATTTACTGCATGCAGAAGACTATTTATTGCCGGTAGAAGACTGGATATTAATTGTAAATACTTATATAGTGATTGCAAAACACTAAATACTGCTAATAGATTATTAGATACTGTAGGAACCTAAATAGTGCTTGCAAAAGACTACACACTGCTGGCAGAAGACTACTATAGGTGCCAAAAGTCAAGGCCCCCCACTTTAGAGATCGATATCTTCGCAACCGCTCGATAAAAGAATTGTTAATTTGTCATAACATAATATTTTTATTAATTTGAAAATTTTCATATCCGCGATTATCTTTTTATCCCGAGTTAAATAAAAAAGTTTTTTTACAGCAACTTTGTCCAGTTTGCGATTTTTTTCTCAAAAACGTCCTATCTCTGGAATACACACCAGCACCATCTTTTTCGATTGGATGGAACCCTCCTCTCCCCGCAAAGCTTATTTCCGGTTTTTTCGTACCTTGGGGCCTTGATTTTTTGCACAGATAGTAAATAGAGATTGCAGAAAATTAGATTATGCTTATAGAAAAGTTAAATGTACTCGTAAAGACTAAATACTGCTAATGGATTACTAGACTCTGTAAAGAACTAAATACAGCTTATACAAGCAGTATGTAGAAGACTACATACTGCTTGTAAACGACTAGATATTGATTGTAGAAGACTAAATACTGCTAATGTATTACTTTACTGACTACTATAGAACTCTAAATAGTGTTTATAGAAGAGTAGATATTGCTTGCAGAAGACTAAATATTGCTAATAAATTACTAAGTATTATAGAAGCCTAAATAGGAGATACAAAAGACAACATAATGATTGTAGAAGACTTGGTAATTGTTGTAGAAGACTGGATACTGCTTGCATAAGGCTAAATACTGTCTTTTGTACAGTGTTTGACTATAATTTTAGAATACTGCAGAAGACCAGCAGAACATCTATTTGTTGAACATCTCAAACGTAAAAATGAATGAGCCAAAGAGTGTTGGTCTGCTTAATAAACTAATACAAACTCGAAAAAGTGTAGTTATTTGTGATAAAAAGCTGTTGAGTTATGCAGAAAGTTATATTAAATTAGTTAAAAAAATTAGGTGACGGTAGTAAGTTTATTTAGTTCGTACAATACAAATGTTTTAGGTGTATTGTAAATATATTTTATCTTAATCGATAAAAAAAGAAGATACTAGCTGTTGTTTTTAATAGAGTCCATTACAGTTATAATATCTGTACAAAAAACAATATAAAGAAGTTCAAGTTTGTAGGAAAGTTTTTTCAGCTTACACAAACTATCTCTTGCGAGACTTAGAGAGTTATAGTCAAGTCTATCTGAATTTTTGAAATGTTCAGACTACATGCTTGCGAAAGACTTACAGTGGCTACAGAAGACTAGACATTGCTTGCAGAAGACTAAATGTTGCTAATGAATTACTAAGTATTATAGAAGCCTAAATAGGAGATACAAAAGACAACATAATGATTGCAGTAGACTTGGTAATTGTTGCAGACTAGATATTGCTAATGGATTACTATCTACTTAGTAGCCTTAGCTTGCAGAAGATTAGACAGTCTTTGTATATTATTTTGGAATACTGCAGAAAACTAGCAGAACATCTCTTTGTTGACCATCTTAAACGTAAAAATGAATAAGTCAAAGAGCGTTGATCTCCTTAATAAAATAATACAAACTCGAAAAAGTGTAGTTATTTGTGATAAAAAGCTGTTGAGTTATGCAGAAAGTTGTATTAAATTAGATAAAAGAATTAGGTGACAGTAGTAAGTTTATTTAGTTCGTACAATACAAATGTTTGAGGTGTATTGTAAATATATTTTATCTTAATCGATAAAAAAAGAAGATACTAGCTGTTGTTTTTAATAGAGTCCATTACAGTTATAATATCTGTACAAAAAACAGTATAAAGAAGTTAAGAAGTCAAGTTAGGAAAGTTATTTTTGGCTTACACAGGCTATCTCTTGCGAGACTAAGGGCCGGTTGTACCAACTCCCGATAAATTTATCCGATAGATAAATTGGCGCATTTAGCCACTGAGAGCGCTTAAAACCGCTGTATCCATGGTAATTATCCGTTAGATAGTTTATCGGGAGGTGGTACAACCGGCCCTTAGACAGTTATAGTCAAGTCTATCTGAATCTTTGAAATGTTCAGTTTTGTCTTAATTATAATCTTATTACAAGTAATTAGCTAACGTTGAATAATGATAAAACAGTATCAATGACTCTTTCACTGAAGCACAGAGATAAAAGTTTGGATTCTGATGATAGTTGCAGATTTCTGGGCGTGCATGTTGACTCCGGAGTTATCTGGAGTTTTCATGGCGAAGCTTCTCGTTTAAGCTCCACAGCCTTTTTGTTAAGACGTCTTTCTGAATTTTCTTTTATGGAGGTATTGCGCACCGATTACTTTACGCGTTTTCAGAGTCATCTTAGTTACGGACTACTTGCCTGGGGACACGCCGCGATTAATGAAAGAATATTTAGTATACAAAGAAGAGCCATTAGAAATATCGCCAAACTAAACTATACTGAAGACTGGCGCTCTTCTTTTATCAATTTAAAAATTTTGACACTGCCTTCATTATATATCTTTGAATGTTTGAAATCTACAATGTTACTTCATTGGCAAGTAAAAAAAAATTGTGATTTTCAAAATTACAAAACTTGGAGGGGGGAGTGACATCCGACATGATGCATTGAGACTGACCAGATCTAGGAACGTCTATAATTATTATGGAGCAACATTTTTTAATAGTCTGCCTGGTAGTTATAGGAATTTAAGATTTAAAGTTTTTGTAACTAGAATTAAGGATATTTTATTGTGTAGAGCATATTACTTTATTGAAGAATTGTCGAATGATTTACAGGCCTTTGAATGTGTTTAGTATAAGAACAGATTAACTTTTTTTCCCTGCCACTACTCTTCTGACACGGATTATTATGACTGTGTATTTGTTTTTATGTAAATGTTACGTGTTATATTTTATATATTATATTTTATTATATTTTTCGCTTTGCTTGTAAATTTTATATTGACGAATGTTATTGTTGCCTTCAGGTTATTAGAAACACTCTTCAAACGCGACTTTCAACTTGAAAGGTGTAAATTTGTGTCATCCACAGTTGTTCAAGTCCAGGTTCTTGGAACTAATTCATTGACATTTGTAACAGCTCCAAGTATACAGAAAAGACTATCCAGTTATCAAAAAGCTTATCAATACTATCGAGTAACGATACTAAATTTTAACTGAAGTGATTTACATTCATCTAGCATGTTTATGTGGCTGATGTAGCAATAGATTGGAATAAACTCAGATTTCTCACCATTTTAAATGGTGATGCACTCAATGGAAACCACAGATTGGGGAATGGTGTGTATATGTCA